CTAAGGAATGTGGAACTCATGGGGGCCTTCTTCTTCTTGCTTGATGAACCAGAAACCTTCTTCTCCAAACTTTTGATCTTGCTCACCATCTTGTCCATGGACTTTTGCATCTTTCAATGGCTTTCCCTTGCCATTTGTTGAACTTTTGGAGAAGTCCAATCCTCTTGTGGGCAGCCACAACAGAGGGGTTCATCCTTGGAGCCTCATACTCCTCAAATAAGTAGCACTCAGGCTCTCCCAAATCCGCACTTTCCTGGACCTGATCTTCAGCTCGATCCTCAGCTCGACCTCAGCTCGAGACTCAGCTCGATCGAGCTCAGGCTCCTCTTCTCGCAAATCATCCTCATGCCCAACTAATGTGTACACAGGGGGTCTGAAGTCAATGTTCTCACCCCTTACTACTGTGGTGAGCTCTGGGTTAGGCAGGAGAAACTTGGAGGGTCCAACCAATGGATGTGTGAACTTGAATTGGAACCTCCCATCCAACTCCTTGTGCTCAATGAGAAGGTTGGTCTTGCAAAACTTGATGTCCATCCAACCTGGTTCAGTGGCTCTCTATCAGTTGGGTTCACTCCAGCAGCACACAAGATAGGTGTGATGAGCCCTCCAATACTTAGGCGCCTTCCTTGTTGATGTCTAGTGTTGTAGGCTGTGATCTTGTAGGTAAGGAGGTGGTCAAGGAAAGGCATCAAGTTCCCTGTGTCAGATCTATCTCCCCTTATCCTCTTGCCATCGCTTGTGCGTGAGAGAAGGGCTTGATTCCCATGTCAAGAAACTTGAGTTCCCCCTCGTTGATGGTCCCGGTCGCCTTCCTTGCAAAGAAGGTGTTGGCAAGTGCCTTGTGCACATACCTCAAGACTGGGCTCCTGATCTGAGCTGCCTTGGACCTTGAGGAAGAGTACACTCCATCAGCGATTGTAGCCCAAACCCTTTGGAGTTCCTTTTCCTTGAAGTTCCACTTGGTACCCTCTCCATAGTTGAACCCAAACAAGATTTCCAGCTGCCTAAAGGTCACCATTCTCTTCTCTCCCTTAGCCAAGAACGTGATCCATCCCAATCCTTGGTCCAAATCAGCTCTATCTTCCTCTTCATACATGTGGTACCTCATTGAAGCTAAGAACTCGCAAGTGAGCTCCTTGTAGATTCCATGTGATAAGAGAAAAGCTTGGCCAAGTGCATGTTCTTGAGAATTAGCTCCACATCCTCAAAGATTCCAAGGGCCTTCATTGTGTCAACATGTGGGTACTTGGTGTCCATGAAGTCCATGGAGAAGAGGGCATTGTAATGCTCTTGGTACATAGGGAGTTCTTCCTCCTCCTCTTGCGGCTCTCTTGTGGCTCAACTCCTCCATAGGTTCATCTTGGTTACTTTCTTGCTCACTTTCTTCAACCAACTGATTCACCTCTTCTCCTTCCTCTTCACTCTCAGTCTCATCACTTCCTTCTTCACTTGGAGAGCCATTACCCTCCTCTTGAACAAGGTTCACTCCAATCTCAAACTCCCCTTGCTCACTCTCACTACTAATGGGGTCATTCCTCTTCTTGGTCCTCCTCTCCTCCCTCAATCTCTCACTCTCAGATTCTTCCTCAGAGTACACATACCCTCTGCATCAGACTCTTCCATTCTTTGAGTCATCCTCTCCAAATCGGCTTGCATCTTAAGCCTTCTTTCCCTTGCATTGCTTGATTCACCCTCAACCATCCTCCTTTGTGAAGCACGACTTCCCTCTCCTCTCTCTGTCATCTCTGTCACACTGTTTCTTCACTAAAGTACCTGAAATGCATCAAAGATTACAAAGAATTAGAGTTGTAATGATCGGTTTGGTCAACTCGACACTCAGCTCGATCGAGTCAAAAAACTCGAGTGACAAACTCGATCGAGCTAGGTGAAAACAGAGTATAACCGAACCTAATTCAAGTATTAAGAGCTGGAAAGGATGCTAATCAATCAAATTGAACCAAGAACAACTAGTAAATGGAACAATGAGCAATTCTAGTGAAACTAAGCATCTTAACCAATACCAAACTCAAATTCAATTTTTCAAGCACATGCAACAAGTTCTAATGATAAAACAGAGGTGAGGTGAGGCAAATTCACAGTGGTATAAACAGGAGATTGAAATGAGAGCAATTACTCAAGAATAAACCCACAAGGGGCACATGCAATCAAAAATCAAAGAGGAAACAAGCAATAATGAAATCGAGATGGAGGAATCAAGGGTTTAGGGTTCATACCTTGCTTGAATGATGAATTGAAGAACAGTAACAAGAACCCAAACAAAACAAGATGAAGAACAAGGAAATCGCAAAAATTTAAGAGAGAGAGATTGAAATTCGATTTTTCTTGTGGTGAAGAGAGAGAGAGAGATGGTTTCAGAAATTTTAAGGTGTGGGAGAGTGGAGAAGTGGGTTCGATCGAGTTATGGGGAAGAGGGAGTGTTTGAGATGTGTGGTTGAGATTAAAAGTGAAATAAAGAGGGGACAAGAAGCTAGGGTTTCTCTGATCAAATTAGGGTAGTGGGGGACCAAAATCAGCTTGTGGGACCCACTCCCTTGACCAAGAAAACGGTTATGAATTTGAAATTCAAAACTTACCTCGGTCGAGTTGAGGAACTCGATCGAGTTGCCCCTGTTTCTAGCTCGATCGAGCTATCGGTCGAGCTGGCTCCTTTGTACCTAAACTTAACTTATTGAAAGGTTAAAGACATAAAAACAGATAGAAATTGCATAAATAGAATATGTACAAGGATAAACATGGGACTTCCTCCCAAGTGAGCTTGTTTAAGGTCCCATAGCTTGACCTTTACCTTCTTAGGCATTGGTTGAGCTAGTCCCACCATCAAGGGTGATAGTGAGGACTTGAGACAGAAGCTCCTTTAGCTTGGATGGGTCCCTGGATTGTTCTGAAGTCACCAAGGCTTTGGCTCTAGAGAATGGCCTTGATCTCCCCTTGTACCTTATCTTGTACTCAATCTTCCCATTTTCAAACTTGGTGGGGAACAAAGTCATTGTGAGCTGAGATGGCTTGGATGAAGGGGCCTGAGCTGGTGGATCTTTTCTTTTATCCCCTGGTCTTGCCTTAGAGGCTACATCCTCCCCTTCTTTTAGAGCCCTTCCTAGTGGCTCATCAAACAAAGCTTGAAGGCTTTCTCCATCAAGCACACAAGAGGCTTGAACAAGGCGATCAGCTCGTGGTCTATCAGAACGTGGTTTCTCAATTCTAGCCCTCTCAAGACTTGGCTTCTCAATCCTTGGCTCTCTCTCTCAAAATATTTATATTTATATATATTAATTTTTTTTTTTTTTTTTTTTTTGAAATTAAACAACTTTTATTGAAATAAGCAAGTGCAAATACAAAGAAATAATCCAGGATCTAAGATTCAAGAAGCAAGAGCTTCAAGAACACAAAGATGGATTAGGGTTGCTAAAAAGTAAAGACAATAAATTAAAAGAAACTAAAACAAAATAATCTAAAGCTTGGTGGTTTTTTCGTGGCTTAGAGCCTTTAAATACAAGAGGATTAGGTTTAGGGTCAAAGGAAAGTCAAGGGGGAAGCAACATTTTTCGGGTTTGACTGTTGACTTCTCAGCTCGATCGAGGAGACGGTCGAGCTGGTCTTCAAGATGGCTTCTCCCTTCTTCCTTTGCGTATCCAGTTGAGCTGCTTCCATGTGCCAAGTCCCTCCATGCTCCTCATGTCCCATATGCTCCAGAATGCTCCAAAAGACCTATTTCAAAGGACCAAACATGCATATGTATGCAAATGCAACCTAAAACTAACATGAATGCATAAGAAGAGAAAAGGAACAAGATATGATGCAAATGGAAGCTAAAACTATGCAAAAGATGCATAAAAGATGTGCTAAAACTATGTAAAATGCAAGTACATCAACACCCCCAAACTTGAACTTTGCTTGCCCTCAAGCAAACAAATAGAACAAGAAAGAGATGAGGTTTGAAAACAGCTGATTCAACACTTAAAAACATGTCCTCAAAAGCGATTTGCTAAATGTCCAACTTAGAGATTCTAGAATGCAACAAGGTGAGAGATATTCATTAAGATTTAACCATGCTTATCAACATCAATCCCACTTCACAGTCACTCAAACAATGCATTCAAATCAGCAAATCCCTTTAACATTCATTAAGCAAAAACAGTGAACCAAAAACATGCAAGATCAATCAACTCATTTGGTTTCAAGGGTTTATGGGTTAAGAGACAAAGAGGGTCTCTTTTGTATGGTGGTTTAGTAACAGGGATCTCTCAAGAAAGTGGCTTTGCTTTGGCAGAAGGCTAAGTGTTAGAACCAAAGATGATGCAAGAACAGCAGCTCGAGCCGCCTAATCCTAACTCGATCGAGTTCAACACTTAGAGCTTTTTAGAACAAAATCCTAACTACCCTTTTTGGCATTTCGCCTTTGAAACTGAGGAGCTTTGCTCACTTTTCTTTTAAGAACTTCCTAGGGAGAGGCTTCTTGAGGTAACATCTAGCGGTTTGGGATTTTCTAAACACTTAGGGAACTTTTCTTTCCTTTTTGACACTTGAGGCTTTGCCTTCTTTTCATTCTACTTAGAACCCTTTTTACTTCCTTTTTTAACTTCCCAAACCTTTACTAGACCCTTTTTAACACTGCCAACTCCCTGGACTTAACTAAACTCTTTTTCCTTTGGGTTTTTCCCAATTTTTACCACTTTTCTGGTTTTTACACCCAACTCGATCGAGCTCGAGTTGGCACCCCCAAACTTAGCCTGAAAACAATCCCAAGAGAACTAGACAACTAGAACTACTGCCCCTGCCGGTTTAAACACAACACCTTATGCTAAGCAAAGCCAAGAAAGGTTCTCACATTCGCACAAGAGATAATATGGGGTTTGAAATGAAAAGGCTTAGGTTTAAGGTGTGGTAACTGTCTCAAAGATAGAGATCAGCTATCTGGACAAGCAAAGGGATATGAAAAGTGAAAAGAATGTCCAGATATGTATGTGGTAGCCATGAGTTGAAATCAAATGCAAGCATTGGTAATTAAAGATCAAGTTATGGTTCAATAGATAGGGAAATGCATCAAATCACAGCAATGGTTGAATGAGATGTGCATGCAGTGATATGATCAAGATAAACATGGTTCTTGCTGCTCAATCAATCTCACCCTAATGCACAAAAGAATCTAAAAACAGGGCACTCAAGAAATCGCAAAAGATGGACAAGTTTTCAAAGTCAAATCAACAATGCAAGTGAAAAATGCAATCCTAAACAAGTCTAACAAATATGAATGCAAAAAGATGAAAATATTTTTGGATTTTTTGAAAATTTTATGATTTTTTTGGTTTTTCTATGCAAAAGATGAAATGAAAAACTAAGAACAAAGAAAACAAGGTTAAATCATCTCTTGAACCCTCCCCCAAACTTAAATCACACAGTCCCTTGTGTGAGAAAAATTTAGTGAAAGATTCAAGAGGGCAAAACCAAGAAAAAAAAGAACAAATGCAAGAAAATATGAAATGGTATATACAAGGGTTGGTGTTTGGATACCTCAGTGCCCCCCAAAGAACTGGGAGGCTAGGTCGTGGTCTGGAGATGGTAGACGGCCATCAGGAGCACTCCATGCAACTGGGTTCTGTCACTCGATCGAGCTTGCTCTCCTCTTCCTCTTCCTCAAAGTGTGTGGCTTCCTTGGCCTTGGTGGAGCATTGCTAGCTCGTACTGTCCATAGGGGTTCCATCTACTCCGGGGAGGCTCCTGGTAAGGCATGGATCGTATTCAAATCCCGGATCCTCGAACTGGGGCTCCTCCAGGTCAACTCGACCGTCAGCTCGATCGAGTTGAGTTTCCTCTGTTTGGACTCGATCGAGTCCGGTGGTCGAGCTGGAGCGTCTGGCCTTGGAAGTCTTCCTCCTTCTCTGCGTGTTGTCTTCTCCTTCCCTTGGCTCGAAAGAAGAGGCTCTGTGAGGCTCTTGGGCAGGGAGCCTCCTTGGAGTGGTGAGAAGGATCTACTCCTAAGGAATGTGGCTTGGGCCTTCTTCTTCTTGCTTGAAGAACCAGAAACCTTCTTCTCCAAACTTTTGATCTTGCTCACCATCTTGTCCATGGACTTTTGCATCTTTCAATGGCTTTCCCTTGCCATTTGTTGAACTTTTGGAGAAGTCCAATCCTCTTGTGGCAGCCACAACAGAGGGGTTCATCCTTGGAGCCTCATACTCCTCAAAGTAATAGCACTCAGGCTCACCCAAATCCGCACTTCCTGGACCTGATCTTCAGCTCGATCCTCAGCTCGATCCTCAGCTCGACTCAGCTCGATCGAGCTCAGGCTCCTCTTCTCGCAAATCATCCTCATGCCCAACTAATGTGTACACAGGGGGTCTGAAGTCAATGTTCTCACCCCTTACTACTGTGGTGAGCTCTGGGTTAGGCAGGAGAACTTGGAGGGTCCAACCAATGGATGTGTGAACTTGAATTGGAACCTCCCATCCAACTCCTTGTGCTCAATGAGAAGGTTGGTCTTGCAAAACTTGATGTCCATCCAACCTGGTTCAGTGGCTCTCTATCAGTTGGGTTCACTCCAGCAGCACACAAGATAGGTGTGATGAGCCCTCCAACACTTAGCGCCTTCCTTTTGATGTCTAGTGTTGTAGGCTGTGATCTTGTAGGTAAGGAGTGGTCAAGGAAAGGCATCAAGTTCCCTGTGTCAGATCTATCTCCCCTTGATCCTCTTGCCATCGCTTGTGCGTGAGAGAATGGGCTTGATTCCCATGTCAAGAAACTTGAGTTCCCCCTCGTTGATGTCCCGGTCGCCTTCCTTGCAAAGAAGGTGTTGGCAAGTGCCTTGTGCACATACCTCAAGACTGGGCTCCTGATCTGAGCTGCCTTGGACCTTGAGGAAGAGTACACTCCATCAGCGATTGTAGCCCAAACCCTTTGGAGTTCCTTTTCCTTGAAGTTCCACTTGGTACCCTCTCCATAGTTGAACCCAAACAAGATTTCCAAGCTGCCTAAAGGTCACCATTCTCTTCTCTCCCTTAGCCAAGAACGTGATCCATCCCAATCCTTGGTCCAAATCAGCTCTATCTTCCTCTTCATACATGTGGTACCTCATTGAAGCTAAGAACTCGCAAGTGAGCTCCTTGTAGATTCCATGTGATAAGAGAAAAGCTTGGCCAAGTGCATGTTCTTGAGACCAACTCCACATCCTCAAAGATTCCAAGGGCCTTCATGTGTCAACATGTGGGTACTTGGTGTCCATGAAGTCCATGGAGAAGAGAGCATTGTAGTGCTCTTGGTACATAGGGAGCTCATCCTCCTCTTGCTGCTCTTGGCTCAACCTCCTCCATGGTTCATCTTGGTTACTCTTGCTCATTTCATCAACCAATTGATTCACCTCTTCTCCTTCCTCTTCACTCTCAGTCTCATCACTTCCTTCTTCACTTGGAGAGCCATTTCCCTCCTCTTGAACAAGGTTCACTCCAATCTCAAACTCCCCTTGCTCACTCTCACTACTAATGGGGTCATTCCTCTTCTTGGTCCTCCTTTCTCCTCCCTCAATCTCTCACTCTCAGACTTCCTCAGAGTAGACATATCCCTCTGCATCAGACTCTTCCATCCTCTGATCATCCTCTCCAAATCGGCTTGCATCTTAAGCCTTCTTTCCCTTGCATTGCTTGATTCACCCTCAACCATTCTCCTTTGTGAAGCACGACTTCCCTCACTGTTTGTCATCTTGTTAACTGTTTCTTCACTAAAGTACCTGAAATGCATCAAAGATTACAAAGAATTAGAGTTGTAATGATCGGTTTGGTCAACTCGACACTCAGCTCGATCGAGTCAAAAAACTCGAGTGACAAACTCGATCGAGCTAGGTGAAAACAGAGTATAACCGAACCTAATTCAAGTATTAAGAGCTGGAAAGGATGCTAATCAATCAAATTGAACCAAGAACAACTAGTAAATGGAACAATGAGCAATTCTAGTGAAACTAAGCATCTTAACCAATACCAAACTCAAATTCAATTTTCAAGCACATGCAACAAGTTCTAATGAAAAACAGAGGTGAGGTGAGGCAAATTCACAAGTTATAAACAGGAGATTGAATATGAGAGCAATTACTCAAGATAAACCCACAAGGGACACATGCAATCAAAAATCAAAGAGGAAACAAGCAATAATAGAAATCGAGATGGAAGGAATCAAGGGTTTTAGGGTTCATACCTTGCTTGAATGATGGATTGAAGAACAGTAACAAGAACCCAAACAAAACAAGATGAAGAACAATGAGAAATCGCAAAAACTTAAGAGAGAGAGATTGAAATTCGATTTTTCTTGTGGTGAAGAGAGAGAGAGAGAGATTTCAGAAATTTTAAGTGTGGGAGAGAGTGGAGAAGTGGGTTCGATCGAGTTATGGGGAAGAGGGAGTTGTTTGAGATGTGTGGTTGAGATTAAAAGTGAAATAAAGAGGGGACAAGAAGCTAGGGTTTCTCTGATCAAATTAGGGTAGTGGGGGACCAAAATCAGCTTGTGGGACCCACTCCCTTGACCAAGAAAACGGTTATGAATTTGAAATTCAAAAACTTACCTCGGTCGAGTTGAGGAACTCGATCGAGTTGCCCTGGTTTCTAGCTCGATCGAGCTATCGGTCGAGCTGGCTCCTTTGACCTAAACTTAACTTATTGAAAGGTTAAAACATAAAAAGATAGAAATTGCATAAATAGAATATGTACAAGGATAAACATGGGACTTCCTCCCAAGTGAGCTTGTTTAAGGTCCCATAGCTTGACCTTTACCTTCTTAGGCATTGGTTGAGCTAGTCCCACCATCAAGGGTGATAGTGAGGACTTGAGACAGAAGCTCCTTTAGCTTGGTTGGGTCCCTGGACTGTTCTGAAGTCACCAAGGCCTTGGCTCTAGAGAATGGCCTTGATCTCCCCTTGTACCTTATCTTGTACTCAATCTTCCCATTTTCAAACTTGGTGGGGAACAAAGTCATTGTGAGCTGAGATGGCTTGACTGAAGGGGCCTGAGCTGGTGGATCTTTCTTTTATCCCTGGTCTTGCCTTAGAGGCTACATCCTCCCCTTCTTTTAGAGCCCTTCCTAGTGGCTCATCAAACAAAGCTTGAAGGCTCTCTTCATCAAGCACACAAGGGGCTTGAACAAGTCGATCAGCTCTTGGCCTATCAGAACGTGGTTTCTCAACTCTAGCCCTCTCAAGACGTGGCTTCTCAATCCTTGGTCCTCTCTCAAAATATTTATATTTATATATATTAATTTTTTTTTTTTTTTTTTTTTTGAAATTAAACAACTTTTATTGAAATAAGCAAGTGCAAATACAAAGCAAATAATCGAGGATCTAAGATTCAAGAAGCAAGAGCTTCAAGAACACAAAGATTGGATTAGGGTTGCTAAAAAGTAAAGACAATAAATTAAAGAGAAACTAAAACAAAAATAAAGTAAAGCTTGGTTGTTTTTTCGTGGCTTTTAGCCCTTAAATACAAAGAGGATTAGGTTTAGGGTCAAAGG